AAAAATATAGTTTTTTTAAGATTAGAAGAACATACACTAAAATGTAATAGTGCTTATCTCTGGATTATAAAGGTTGAGATTTTTCTTTTCCTACATGAATCTAAATTTTCCATCAAAAAATGTTACCCGAATAAAAAGAAAAATAGATATATATAGATGTAAGTTATTTTTAAGTGTTCTCCACATTTACAAAGGAGAGAAACAACCTTAGATCCATTCAGGCCCAAAGAATCAAAGCTTTGTACTAAAGAATTACTTTAGTAGGACAGAAATCTTCAAAAGGAGGGTCCTGTCGAATAAAAGCAACATGAATTCTTTGCTACTTTTGACACTGAGTGGCCTATTTTGTTTAATAATGATATAGACAGGACAGAGGGAGTGATGACTCTATGGAAATTAGGCACAACGTAACTTCTTTCAGAATCCGAGTCAGGAGGGCCAGGATATGCGAAAATTCACTTTTTATTACAGTGTTCTGGACACGGAAAAGAGAGTCAATTATCTTGCTGTGGCCTCGGATCGTCATCGTCTTCCTCTCTGAGGCTTCGGAGCGCCTCACCGGACGCACACCGCCCATCTGCCTCTGATGAGGCACCTCCATCCCGCGCTGAGTCACACCGATAAAATCTTTAAAAAGGCTCACTTAATGGCCGCTTTCACACGCTGTTCCGCCAGAACACTTCAAGCCTAACTCACTAAGGACGGGTTTGCTGGGTAATGACATAGAATTTCAAACTCTGTACTCTGTAAATCTACTGCCTCCTCAGAAGAAAGTCTAATAGTCTTACTCAAGCAAAGCAATGTAAGTGGTGATTTGTGGTGTGAATTATAGGTCCCTGATAGCTAAAGGATTTTCAAACCTATTTTAAAAAGAAATTTCATGAAGAAAACAAAGAAGACTATGACTACCTGAAGCCCTGGCAAGATAATTGACTCTCTTTTCTGTGTCCGGAACACTGTAATAAAAAGCGAATTTTCGCATATCCTGGCCCTCCTGACTCGGATTCTGAAAGAAATCAGGTTGGTCCTCTTCATGTATTTATTACCGAATCTCTCTTCCTAGACAGGGGGCTCTCTGAAGGCAAGAGCCATGTGATTAACCTTTGCAGAACCCTGTTTCTAGCACAGTGCAGCAAGACTGAAAATTCTTCTATGTCATTTTTATCTTTGAATACAGAAAGGCCTGAAGAGATGTGACAATCTAGTGCACCTCCCACACTTCACTACAAGGTCCTTTATGTACTCGAAAATCCCAGTTGATGAATGATGGAAAGATTGAGAGCTACCACCAAGAACAATGTGGAAGGCTCTGGGTCTGAAGTATTTCCTATTACTGTTGCGGCTTCTGAACTAGGAAAGAGAGTGGCTGAGGGAAAAAGGGCGAACAAGAAGCACATTAAGTCCCCTCTCTTAGAATTACTTTGGCAGAACCAAACTTTGGCATCACTTCCTTGCCCTAAACTGGGGGCCATAAGAAATAGGCCCCCATGAGACGTGACGCTGTGTTTCACAACAAGGATGATAAGGTCACTGTTGACAAAATCACAGAGTTTCCTCTGGAAAGAGCCATTGGAGACATTTCCCACTCACCAGGAGACCAGGTCTGCTTCTCCTAAACACTAGGTTTATTTTCATGTGATTCGTTTAAATGATCAAGAATCTCTTATTGCACTGGCTGCTAGACAGCTCAGAGTCGGATTTCAGACAGACAGGCAGGAAACGTGCAGGACCTCAGAGCAAGCACGCACTTGGTCTATCAGTCTGATTCCACTTTCCCTTTGCCCCATTTCCCACGTCTTAATTTCAAATTTCATCACATTATGTTGCATGTTTTATGTAGATATACTAATCTCACCTGGATTGAGATTTACTATTAATAAATAACCTGTAATATATATAAATACCGAGGGGATAGCCAAAATGGCCAGGGTCCCAGGATATATGTAGAACAGAAGTAGTATTTAGGTTTGAAGTTTCAAAATGAGTTGGGTTCCTAGTTCCTCAACTGAAATCACTTTTAGATGTCCCCAGACTCTAAGTTGGGTAATAAAATAATAAGAATGAGAGAGACTTGCTGCCAGGAAAACACAATATAGGAGAAGTTTCGTTTATGAGAATCTTTAGGATAGGCACAGATGCAAAACGACACGAAACAAATTACGAATGTATTTGAGAAAAAAGACTGGAAAGACATACCTCTATTGCATTTTTCTAAGACTTTTCTCTGTTCAAGAACTTCTGAATTTAACACAGCATTTTCTTGTTTAACTTTATTTACCTAAAAATGTGAGATTTTGAGGGAAGAAAATACCCAAAATTGTAAAATAAGACATATGGCAATGTGTGATACTGGAATTGCTGTTCAACTTTCAACACAAAATTACAATTTAAAGCTGAAATTGGCTTCACTGTGTTAAGGCTTTTATTAAAGCTCTTCTTTAAAATTTCAAAGATAGCTATTTAAGTTAGTATGAACACTTAGTATAGAACTTACATATTCCAATTGGCTTTGGTCCCTAAACGTAACAGTATTCTAGCCATGCAATGTAAATGATTCCTATTCTTAACGTAAAAATCCAACTAGAGATCACTCACAAAATACACAAATCATTTAGTCAGAGATCCAGTACTCAATTTGTTATTCATTCTAAATTCTGATGACTTTTGGCTTAAGTAAAACACACATGAACTTCTAAAACAAAAAATATTTTGAACTTTGATGACTTTTGGCTTAAATAAAATACATATGAAAATATTCACACAAAAACTTAAATTTCTGAAGTAACTTTCGATTATCTATCAATAGGGGAGAATACCATAAAGCAGTTAAAAAAAGAAAGAATATAAGGCTACATATATCAAGGTGGATAAATCTAAAATATATTATGTTGAATTTAAAAAACCAGGTACATTTATAAAGTTTAAAAATATTCAAAATACTACATATTGTAGTCAACATATAAATACATGCATTGGAATGAAAAACACCAAGTTCAAAACAGTGATTCTTTAGTAAAACTGGGCAGAGAGTAAGGAAAATGCAATTGAGGAGGGGTACACCCAGGTTTTTAATCACTATGCTAATGATCTGTGTCACGTAGTAGGTATATGAATATTCGTTATTTTGCTCTGTATACCTTTTTAGATATCGAAAATAGTCATGATAAAAATGATTTCTGCATTGTCTTCCAATAACACCTCTAAGTGGGAGGGCAGAAAAATCATCCATAAATTATCACAATTGAGGAACACAGCGCATCAGAATGTGTTTCCTGTCTCTCTCCTACAGCTATACTCAAGAAACAAACTAAGGGAACGGTCCTGAAACTGGCTCTGAATCCATCAGCACCTCCAGATAATCTGTGAACTGGCTTTCACAGTATAAGCTTTATTTTTGGTTTTGGTTTAAATTAATAAGTGGTACACACCGTCCGACAATAAGGTCCCTTCCAAAATATCATCTCATCCTTCTTCCCCTTCATTACAATGTTCTGTCACAATAAGCAAAAGCAGCTGGGGCTGGGAAGATGGTGGGCACTGCTTCCCAACCTTTATTACACCATGGCCTTCAAGAGGATGACAACATATGGATGGGAACTGAGGTCATCAGTTCACTGAAGGGATCAGTACCTTGGCATATTTGTAAGCCACATGAGGGTTATTAGGTGCTGTAGCACATCAGTTGGGAAGCTCTGAGGGACAGAATCTAAGACCACAGATACAAGTTAAATCAACATTGTGAAGGCAGATCCTTGAAGCCTCATGCAAATAAAAGGCAATTTTGTGGTCTTGTTCTTAAGACAGTTCAAAAGGAAAAAGAAAGATTCTCTAAATACTCAGTTGCATGCATTCTACCACTTGTACGCATTCTACCCATCTATCGTGTGTGCCTGTGCTGGAGGTACACAGAGGGACCATCCTTCCCAACTGAGCCAACTACCCACTGAAGAAGCAAAACATTTTCTGCCTTCCTCACCACCAGCAGTAAGTTGTAAGACCTGAAACCGTAACTAGCATTCTTACAAATTTGCCTCATGCAGTACAAAGTGGGGGACAACAGGGAACACATCCATGCTATTTCAGTGTTTCATTTATTAAGCCAGGTAGTAGATACATTGATGTTCACGATCTTATTTTCTCTACCTTTTTATATGTCTGAGAAGAGGAGATTAAATTTGATGCATGGATCCCATGTCAGAAATAAGCTTCCAACAGCAAACTTTTAACTTAGTCCCCAAACACCTTGAAAACACTAAAGGCCTTGCCTTTCAGGCCTAAGATACATACCTCTTCAATGACTTCTACAAGTTTGCTCTTGAGATTTTCCAGTTCAATGGCTAACGTCTTCTTTTCCTCCTGAACAGATACAATTTGATCTCGAAGTTCTATATTTTTAAGGAAAAAATTAGAAAAAAATAGAATAAACGTTTTTAAAAGAAGAAATCAATCTGGTCAAAAGAATTGAAAATGCCATACCATGTGCAGCTTACGGTCAAGGTTATTTAACAATTAAAAGGAAAATAAAGAACCAAAGGACAAAGGGAATCTCATTTGTGTGGGTGGTCCCCACACAGCCAGGTTATTAATAATTTTCTATCGGGCAACCTCAATACAGTAAATGTACCAGATCATGCTTCCTTTGCATTCTATCAAACCTACATTCTTCCCAAAAGCTACCTGGCGCTTGGGAAGTAAAAATTTTTAAGCTTTCAGCAAAGCAAATTAAGGCATTGTACTAATTTCTTTTTCATTTCATTATGGCCATGGGCTCTTGTCACAATACAATATAAACAAACAACTGGGCAGTTAATAATTTAGAGATTTTGATTTGAAGGAAAAGATCCTGACGTGCTGCCAATTTATAGCCCTTAAACATTATTTGAACTGACTCAAAATATAACTATTTGAAAGAAGGGTCAATTCTAGTAATTTTCTCTCCAGAGTTGTGGGTGTTTTGTTTTTTAATTTATTTCATATTTTTTATTACTGGAATTAAATAAAAAATGTTTAACTAGAATGAAAATATCAGCAACTAGGCCAGGCACGGTGGCTCACGTCTGTAATCCTAGCACTTTGGGAGGCTGAGGTGGGAGGATCACTTGAGGCCAGGAGGTCAAGATCAGCCTGGTCAACATTACGAGACCCCATCTCTACCAAAAAAAAAAAAACAACTAAAATTAGCTGGCCATGGTGGTATATGCCTGCAGTCCCAGCTACTGGGGAGGCTAAGGCAGGAGGATCACTTGAGCCCAGGAGTTCGAGATTACAGTGAGCTATGATGATGCCACTGCACTCCAGCCTAGGGAACAGAGTAAGATCCCGCAGAAAAGAAAAGAGAGAAAAGAATACGACAGCAACTGTAAAGTGCAAAGGCATCTGGTGTTAAAGTTACTTCCACAACTCAAATGTTTAAAAATATACATGACTTAGCACAGACTACTTAAATTTTACCCAGGCGTACTGTTTTGCCACTTAGTTTTTAACTGCTTTTAATTTCTTACCTTTTCCCAAAGGCAATGAGAAACTTGCTATGTGTTATTTGTAAGTTAAGTCAAACTTTTTACATGAACGCAGCTTGAAGAAGTTCTCAAAGATTTATTTCTAAATCACTTTCTCTACCAACTGGCTAATCCAAAAGGAGGAACGTGAGACCATATTGTTCAAGACCTAACAAACTTCCTCTCTCTCCGTACCAACCTAATTCTATGTGGAGGGGTTGAAGAGTCCAGTAAAGACAGCACCTGTTATATCCTTTCTTCTTTATGCTTCCAACTGAAATTTTAACTACCAAACAAACTGATGAGTATTGCTTTGGACATATGTACTAAATTAAAATATTCCTATAGTTACTGAGCCCCAAACTGCTTTTCCTACATCTTTAACATAAACATGTGTATGAATAAAATTAATGTGCATTTCATAGATGTACCATATGATCTTGCCTTACAGCACTGCTTGCTGACCAACCTGGTTGTTCTGAATATCTGAATATTGCTTATAGCTCATTGCCAAAATCAGATGGGAAATTCTTAGAGGACAGAACCTACGGAATTTGGGGCGGAATCTTCTCCAAAGATTCCAAGACAGAACCAAACAAAAAGGGAGTGTTGGCTAAATATATTTTCATCCATTCTTTCTTCATTTAACAAGAATATCTTGACACATAGTCCATATTCTTAAGGTTATAGTCTAACTGGCTATTTCTGTTGAGCTAACACTTTCGAAAGTGCCAATTCCAAAACAAGAAAGTAACTCGTAAAACACAAATGTTACAACCTATTGTGACTCTCACCCATGCTACACCCTTGGCCAATTAAATCAGAATTTGGGGGAGGTAGGACCCAGGGATCAGTATTTTTAAAAGTTGCCAACTGATTCTGCTGTGCAGTCAGGGTTGAGAAGTGCTGTCAGAAATATGCTCAGTAATGAAGCAAAGAGTTCCACCTTTGATTTGCTTCTGACACTGTACTGAGACACAAGTCTCAGTGGCACCGTCTGTGTCTGTAGTTGAATCTTCGTCGTCAATGTTTATCTCTTCAGTTATTACATCTGGTCCCAGCTTGGCCATGTATAACATGCTGATTCTTTTCAATGTTTTATTTTCTTTATTTAGCTAAGACAAAATATGAAAACCATTATTTTAAGAGCAGTCAAATGAGTATCTTAGATTTTTTAACAATAGACAAATTAAGTGTATTTTTGTCTTACATATTCATCAACATTCACAGGACATAATTAGAAGATTCATTAGATAAGGTTTTATTCACACTTTTAATATTAAATTTATTACTTTAAGCAAGACCTGCTGCCTGGATTACAGCTAGCAGCAAGTGGAAATGCCGGTTATAACTGATGAGAAATTTAAGGAATTAAGATAAAACACTGGTATAGATTAAATAAAATTTTGATTTATTTATAGCCATTAATAATCTTAATTAAGGCCCTTTATTTTAAGCAAACTTTCTGTTTGATGCTGTGCTGTGAACACCTTTTCCGTGTCTGTTTGCCCAGCATGCCCTCTTCCCTGGACACTGCCACTCTTCTTCACTGTTCCACATGACTTCTACAGGAAGAGCCCTGGTCCCCCACAGCACACCCATCCCTCTGGCCACTGCTAATTAGTCCAGGGATTAGGCACACACCCCAGGTTCATGCCTGATCAAGATTTCTTCTGTAGAAATTTGTAAGCTGGAACAGAGAGATGAGTTTCTTTCCATGTGTCTGGAGCTGTTGGCAACCATACTCCACTGCTAAATCGAGGAATAGAGGAAGGTAGCCTACAGCAAAGCCAAAAATGAAGCTCCTATATAGAGACAAGCAATGGAGAAAGGGTTTCCCAGACTCCGGTCCACTCTTAAAACTGTTCTTTGCTCACAGATTCTATGGGATTCTCCAATATTCCTCTCTAACAAATACCTACATTTTTTCTTTTCTTGCTTAAACTAGTTGAAGATGTGTTTCTGCTATTTAAACAGAGTACTAACAAGACATAATAGAAGTTCAAGATATGTTTCTATTACCTCTATAAAAAGAGTTCTAATTCATAGCAGAAAAACAGATTCCTAATTTGTTAATGTGTGTGTTGTTCCCTGATGTAGAAATAAGAGAAATGAGCTGGTTTTTAGATATACTCAACCACCATCACCTTCTTTAGCTAACGTGTTTGTGTACATAAAAATGTTAGTAACAAAGTACACACAAAGACTAAGCTTGGTCCCATGTCTACAGAAGGAAGATATGGTTTTGCTTATGTTTTCTCTTCCCAAGACTAAAAAATAAAAGGTCTTTTTAAATTTGAATACACGAAAGTATTTAGTAGATTATTTTCCCTAGAATAAAATGTAAGCTATAGAAATGCAAACACCTTCCTTTTCTAGAGCTACTGGCCACCAAGATTTAATAATTGATACTAGAAATAAATGAACATAACCCATTGAAAAGCTAATCACCCTTCCCCACAGTACCTGAAATCAGAATAAGATGTTTAGTATGGTGTTAGTCTGGCTTTGCCACTACTATGGATACTTTGCTTTGCTAAAATGTATAGGTTAAACTGATATATGTAGACCAATTATTTAGGTTGTATAATCTAAAGTCATTAGATTTCCTTGTTTTGTAACTCTAAATATTTATGATCCACATTTGTGATCATAATTTGGGCTCCTCAGCGCTTCTCACAGGGAAGCCCAGCCCACTTCAATCTAGGAGATCTGATTCTTACATCAATAATATGTAGCCTCAATGTTTACCCCAAGTGGCGTGGTCTGGAGAACAAGAGGTCTCCCTGACCTCTCTGGGGACTCATGAAGAATCTCTTAGAAATGGCTATCAACCCTTCCACGGGTTCTTCCTGGGAAGACTGACAAGTTCTATTTGGGGAATCAGACACAGCCCTCCATCCCCTGTCCCCAGTCTACAGCTCCAGCCTCTATCTCCCCACATTAGAGGATCAGGGATAAGAGATGAGGCCCATAATTTCCCAGCTCCTCTTAAGATGGAAAATTCCAGTAAACACTGTGTGGGTTCTTTAAACCATGAATGCCACAGCATGGCAGTAGAAGCTCCAGGACCCTTCTTGCCAATTCTCAAACTATCTCATCCTTCCTGAATATTAGAAGAAAATACCAATTTAAGAAAAAAGTGAAAAAAACTCAAGACTTAACACACTGACTGCCACACTAGGAAAAAAATTGTTTTCCTTGGGGCCATGGTGTTTTACTACAAAAATAGAATAAAACTTCAAAATCAAAATGCTCCTTTCTAATTTAATGAAAAATGAAATTTACGGACTTCTATTCGTTTAATCTATGTTTTCAGAATTAATTTTTCAATATTGGTTGTAACAATAAGAACATCAACAAGTGAGATTTTCATGAACCAACTGTAGGGTCTTGACAGGTTTTGCTACACAAGGCCCTGGGCTCAAAACTAGCATGAGTTAAATACAACTTGCATGGCAGTTAATGTGTTAACTTATAATTCTGTCTTCTAATATTTAAACTAATCGTTCTCAGCTCTGCACATCAGAATCTCTGGAGAACACCGAAACAATCCCAGGGCTTAGGCTCTACACCGTACCAAAATCTCTGGCAGTGGGACCCCGCACAGCTTTTCAGAGCTTCCCAGGTGACTCTAATGTACATCAACGCTAAGAATCATCGATGTAGAGTAATGCAAGGCGATAGTATACAACCCAGCTCTGCAATAAAATTCTGCCTCTGCCTCTACAACTAACCTAACCTTTCAGTTTTTCAGTTTTCTCATCAGTAAACTAAGGATAAAAGTAGTCTCTATCCCATATATACGAAGATTAAATGAGACATAGGAAGTGCTTAATATAGTAACTGACATATAGTAAAACTTCAGTAAGTGTTAGCTTTTAATAGGAAGAAGAGAGGTTTGTGTGTTTATCCTTTGGAAATCACTTAGTTTTCTTCAACTGAAGTATTCATCTATTTTTCTTCTTCCTCTGGGATATTCATGAAAATACTAATTTTTTCCATCTAGTGCTTAATATATTACTTCTCAGACCACCATCGCAGTAATACTTGATCACCTGATACTCAACAATTCTGCTCTCACCCTTACTAAATCAGGCAACAAAGTTCACCGCTATTATCTGTAATACAGTCTGTAATACAGCTGCTCTATTTAACAAAGTTACTAGGCTCAAGATAAAAGGCAACGAGAAAATTTCATAAGTCTTCTCTAAAACACCATTTTCATATTTTGAAAGAAGAAATAAAAGATTTATATATACAAGGTCTTGTGTGCATACTACTTGAACCTTTTTGAGAATTCTGAATTTACAAATTTTGGCTAAGCAATTTCACTGAAGTTATTCATCAAGTTATAGGTTAATGGCATGCTACTTGTTGTTTGGAACCCTTCTACGTTACAAGCCAAAAATAAATCTTTTATAACCCTACAGTAACAGAATCTACCACTATATTCAAATTTAAATAGAATTTTTATACTGAGCACAGTTTAATAAACATTTAAAGTATAAAACATGCAAGGTTAATGGCTTTGGACCATATGACTTAAATAAGTGGTCTACATACATCAGTTTAACCTATACATTTTAAGCAAAGTATCTATACTGTTTTCAAGAAAATTATGAGGTCAAATTGCATCATAAGAATTAAACATTCCATTTGTCATCAATTTGATGGCAAATATTTAGAAAAATAAGAATTACAGAAACTTTGCTGCTCAAAAAATGAAGACTACTTTCAAAAAATGACAATTTATACTTAAATCAGCCTATTATCATTTATTGATCACACATATAAATGAAGCTTTCAAATTTTGCATTCCAAGCTATGGTATTGGCTAGACATGGTGGCTCATGCCTGCAATTCCAGCACTTTGGGAAGCTGAGATGAGAGGATTGCTTGGGACCAGGAGTTCGAGACCAGCCTGGCCAACACAGTGAGACCCCATTTCTACAAAAAAATTAAATTAGCTGGGCATGGCAGCATCCACCTGTAGTCCTAGCTACTGGAGAGGCTGAGACAGAGGATTCACTGTACCCAGGAGTTTGAGGTTGCAGTGAGCTACGATCACACTGCTACACTCCAGCCTGGGCAACAAGCAAGACCCTGTCGCAAAAAACAAACAACAATCTTTCATATCCAACGAGCACATCTATAGTGCTTGACTGAATTCTCATTTTTTGGTTTTTTATGCCAGGCCCCATGAGTTCATAAAACAAACTATATGTCTATTTTTTAAAAGGCTTCTTAAAGAATAGGCAACAAAAAGCATAAGTTAAAGAATGTATTGCTAAGACTAAATTGTAAAAATACGGTCTTAGAGATTAGGTAACACAGTGGTTCATGGCCAGGGATAAATCTGACAGTCACTTGGCAGCTTGTCTTCATATACATGCCTGGGCTACACCCCAAGAGCCAGTGGGTCTGGGTGTTCTCAAGAAGCCAACCATAGCCCATACTGGCATTTAGGGCAAGACAACTGTACCCCAAAGAGATGAATTCTCTTGCCTAAAGTCACCTATTAAATAAAAGGGGAGGGAGGAAAGGCTAATTTTTTTAAAGAGGGCCATATATGGACCAATGATTAACTCCAGTCCATCCTGTCATTTAATATGAGACCCTCCAGTCCAGAGAACAGAACAAGCTTATCCAAAGTCACATATGCCAAAAATGATATCAAGAGGAACAAACTCTGGATATACTGCCCCATAATAAACTCTACCAATCCAGAGAGGTAACCAGTATCCTAACTTTGGATGTACTATTGCAACAGGAATACTTGAAAATAATAAGAGAACATATGGAGAGTATCCTTAGAGCAGCTAGTATTTTTTCTTTACTTGTTCCAAAAGAAATAAAAGAAATGAAAAGAATTCACACAACATTTATGGACCAGCAAACTCTATGATATGTAGCAGAGCAAAAATGATGTAAGAGGACCCATGTTATCACCGTTTTTTAAAGCAATGGCCTGTATTGCTATGTATTCTTCAGACGAGTAACAGGAGAGAAGTTACATACACAGATTTATACTCTTAGGTTCAGACTGAATATCTTATGAATTCTAATGTAGGGTCGTTCTGCACACAATTAAGCAAATACCTCTAGCAAGCACGCTGCTGATGCACACTAATTAAATTTATTTACTTATTTATTTGTGGGTAGTAGGATTTCAGTCACATCCAACGAAATACTTTGGAAGTAGGTGATGGAGGGAGGGAAAAGAAATACAACCAGCATTACTAATGAAATTTGGTTGAAAATTGCTGTAATCCATTTTCTGATGAAGTGGTTCAGATGCATTTTACCCAACCCAAAATACGTAAGACAGATAAAAACATTCTTTAATAATAACGTACTTCTGATGAGACAGAATATAGAAAATTACACACTTGGTAAATTCATCAGCTAGAAGCAATCAGCAGAGCACTGGAGGTCACCTTTAGCATGCCCTCACTTTGCTTTCACAAATAATCACCTGAAATGTAAGGCTTCAGAATGACTTTTTCATCTGATTCAAATATGAAACACTCACTGCTCTTTTATGTCACACAAGGTTAGTTTTAAACTCGGTTCACATTTTAACCAAATGCATAGACATTTGGAAAGTTCATTTCGACCGACTACTCTGAGATCATTTTTCACAGGTAAAAAACACAAATGCCAAAATACACATATACAAATGCTCCTTTTACGATGGAAATAATCTTTTCATTAAGGTGACTATTTACATAATCATATTCCAGGATTCTGAGACCTTACCAGGCTTCCCTCATCATCAGATGAGATAACTGATTGAAGAACTAAAACCGCCACAAAAGGACAGAAGCCACTGTTTGGAAAAAGCAAGTGGAAATAAAAAAGCTTAGGTAAAATTCCTTCATGTGAACAGGCTCACCTTTGTTGCCAGAGCTTCAGCACTTTCTCGACAAGTCTTCTCTATTTCAAGATGGTTCTGCATGAAATTAACTTCCTCTATAACCATGTGAGAAACTAGGAATGAGGGGGGAAAAAGTCTCAGCATTCAGAGATTAGTCAGCTATTCCAGAAGCCCACGCATTGTCCCATGATTAAGAATACTTCAATTCTTTAGCTGGCCAAACCTTTAGCTATCATTGAAAAAAAGTTTTTGAGAAGCTGCCCTGATTGAATCTTTGCTAATATTGGAATGTAAAAAGAAAGAAAAAGAACACAATGAAGAATGTCTCACTGCTATTACAGATATTTTAAGGAAGCTATTTAGGAGACATTTTTTAAGCGTCTATTTTCTATGTAGGTATATAAATATGCATAGACATATCTGCTAATTTAAACAAAACATCTCTGATAAATAAAGAGGATGGCAACATGACTGCCTTTTCTTAGCATGATATAATACATAGATCTAAGAAGGAAAATTAGCTAATGAAAATAAAAGAAAAATAAATCCTAAATTGATCTTATGACTGGAATAACAATGTGGCAGCTTAATTAAGTATTGTACATTAGTCTTTATTAGTTACAAAGTAGTTACTGTTACTTCATAAACTCCAGGGCAGAAAAATACAGCAACAAGATTTATGTATTATATGATGAGGAAAGCAGATGCTAATAAATTGCTTCTTGCATCACAGACTGTCAGGACGTAAAGAAGTAAAATTTTTCTTGATATTGTACCAGCACTTGAAAACAGTAATTTTTAGATTTTTTGAGAGCTGGCTCATGTAAATTGAGATTTAAAGGTATAAAGTAATTTAGAACTTGAATTATATTTTGAAGACCAACTAAGAAAAATGCCAATTCCTTCTGCCCATATTTCTAGTTAGAAGAAAATTCTTAGAATCTCAAAACTTAAGTGTAGACATGTTACTTATTGATATGTGTTTGGCTTTAAAAGAAAAAAAAAAAATTAAAGGACACCCAAATGTGAAACTCAACAAAGTTGGGCAAAAAGCACTGGGCTTGCATAACAAAAAGAGAGATTACTTTTGATTCATTTAAGCTTAATTAACCTGCAATTATGATTAAACTCAGGGGAAAAAAAATTTCTCTCCAGATTAAATACAAAAATGTATTACTTCCTAAGTCTGTCCAAAGTTCTTATTATGTTAATATTCAAATTCATAAAGCAGCACTAAATGGCCAGAAACATCCCTAACCTTGACATTTTTTCAGGGGTAATAATAATCTGCAGCAAATGCAGGCCAACCAAAAACCACTTAACTAATTAGTAGTTGCAGTCACCGAGAAAAACATGAATCAACACTGTTATTACAAGTGGCACATTTGAGTGGCATCTAATTATGACTTGATGAGCACGATACTTGCATTATCAACATTACTACTGCATCCCATCAGGGCCTAAAAGCTGCTGATGGCATTGACTTCGAGAAACTCCCACTCAATGGTACAGCAGCACCCAACAATCGGCTTGGCAGGGGCCCCCCTCACTAAATGACACGTTAAGCGTAATTACTGGTAGACATTGTAAATAAACAGGATTGGAAGTGAAAATTGTACCAAGTGCATAAGACACAATCTGACACATTGGAAGTGGCAGCCTTAATTGAGAGTTTCTTTGACTGCTCAAGATCATTTCAACTGCATTTCTCAGAGGACAGTGATTATAACTGTGGAGACAGACGGCATAATGGTATCAGCACTGCTGACAGAGCAGTGAATTAAATTGTATCTGCTCTTGTGTGAAAGCCTTGATGAGAGGTACAGATGCCTTAGTGGTCTTATCATTATAACACAATGGTCATGTTGTCATCAACCTTTCTGGCTCCAATTGAAAAGAAATGATTGTGTGTTGAAGCTCCCCCCCCTTTCCACACCACCCCCCTTCTTCTCTTCTATCTCTTGTTCTGAATAGAACCAATTTTCAGAGAGCTATGAAATCACGCAATAGGTCCTAAAATGCAGCTGCTTGGCATACAAACGGGTTCCCATTAAACTGGAATCACACACAATATGTGTTTATGCCAGAAGAACAAATAGAAGCTGAACACAGGCCAAGTTTATTCACACACACAAAGCCCATGTAGCTCTTCATCAATATAATTGCCTTTTATATTGTAGTTTAAATAATAGGCTCTATTATTTCCTTAAAATCCTAATATTCCTGGCATTTTATCACTATGTTTACAAGGTAGGTTCTTCAAAAATGTGAAGGAAAGAGAAAAGAAACCTATACAATTTTTACAACATCAAATATTACTTTGAATTTTTAGCCTTAACTACTTGACATCTTCTGCCACAATCTGGTATTTCCACTATCATAACAAAAACATAAACACTCCGCATTTTTCATAGGAATCTGATTTTTTATTCAATAACATTCTTGCTTGGGAAAGAATAAGAAAAATCATTCCGCAGTAGTGAGGTTTAGGCCTAGCAAATAGGAGGAAAAGAAAAAACACATTTATTTTCTAAACATTTTGTAAAAAGCTGCCCTGTGATTTAACTTGATAAATTTGGCTGGGTAGTACTTGCCCACATTTTCTCCTATTCTGATATGGTGTACTCCGTCAGCTGGGGTTTTTATTTCTTCCTCAAAGAGGGAATAGCAGAATTTAAAATTGTACTTTAATTTTTAGTTTAAGAAATTATCCCAATGCTAAATTAGCAGCATAGAAACCTACTAATCAATTTTCCAGGTTCGGAAGGGAAGAATATATTTCAAAGGGCAGTTATATCTTTAAAAAGCATGACCCCATTTTCAAACCAAAGTCAGATCACATGATGTAAAACAGAAATATTTTTTCATATATAAATTTATTTGTACCTTTCAAAGAATAAAAGTTTTTAAAAACTTCAGCTGTTATTTTATGATTTGCCTCATGGTCTTGAATGTGGGCTTATCTCATAATATCCACAATCCGTGGCCACTACACCTTTATTTTTGGATGACATAAGGTTTAAAAAAGAAAAAAGATGAACTTTTATTTATTTTTTTTAATTTTTTTTTGAAACAGAGTCTCACTGTGTTGCCCAGGCTAGAGTGCCATGGCGTTAGCCTAGCTCACAGCAACCTCAAACTCCTGCGCTCAGGCAATCCTCCTGCCTCAGCCTCCCGAGTAGCTGGGACTACAGGCATGCGCCACATGCCTGGCTGATTTTTTCTATATATTTTTAGTTGTCTGATTAATTTCTTTCTATTTTTAGTAGAGACGGGGTCTCGCTCTTGCTCAGGCTGGTCTCGAACTCCTGAGCTCAAACAATCCACCTGCCTCGGCCTCCCAGAGTGCTAGGATTACAGGTTGAGCCACCGCGCCCAGCCAAGATGAACGTTTAATAAACTGACCCTAGTACTGCAGTTATGTTACAAAGAAAAAATTCCTAAGCTTGTAGAAATACATACTGAAATATTTAGTTAGTAAATATTAAAATGATATGATGATTGGATGAGTTTCAAAAGGTCGGTGAGAGCGAGTATACAGATGAAGGAAGATTGGACATGAGTTGATTACTGCTAAAGTAGGATAACTGGTACACTGGAGATCATTATACTATTTTCTCACTTTTGTATAATTTTGAAATTTTTCATAAGGAAAAACATTTTAATGACCCTGAGTGCTCCCAACCATAACCCTAAAAGTACATCAACTATTGTTTCTACCAGGCTAGTTGAATTAGCAGTGTGTCTCTCCATATCTATGACCTTAAAGTTCTTACATACTTGCCATCATAGTATACATCACATTGTAGGGAAACTTTTTTTTTCTTTTACTTGTTTTTGTCTTCTACTATGAGCATTAGAGCAGAGATTTTGTCTTAACGCATGTCTGATTCTCTTGTACCTAGCACAATGCTATGTACAAAGTAGGTACTCATGTCTGTGTGTGTTTGAAGGACTGAAAAGACACATCGGGCCGAAGTTCATCTGTGAACATCCTTTTACATGAATGTTCTCTGCTGTACAGAACTGCTTAGGAAACAACTACCATCACCATTTACTGAGCCTGACTATGTGTCCAGCTTCATGCTAAACCCTTTACATGTGGTTCCTTCATGAATCCTCACAACAATCCTGTAATATAGGTATTACCATAGCAATTTGATTATATATTTGAGAACTCTAAGGCTCAGAGAAGTTAAGTAACATACTCTGAATCACAGAGTTCTAACTGGTAAAGCCCAGCCAAATCCATTTCTAGGTGACTCTACATTTCTATGGTCCTTTCTAACTATGCAAGGTGTCACCAGCACTTCTCCAAATTCCAACGTCCAGCACTATTTTAAATGTAGAATATGTTTTGAGCATACATGGTGAACGTATCACAAATTCTTCTTCAACATCGTATTACTTAAAAAGGTTTTCATGTGGTAAGAAAACAGCCATGAAAGTTGGCACCTATGTAGGAAAATTGGTGTGCCCTAAAACAGAGCAAAGGATCTAATATTGTGTCCTAAGAGATATGAAAGGACTTTGATTAGTTCTCTTTTTACAGGAATCTGTCTTCCTGGGGAACATGGCTTTGCTAGGTGGCAGTGTTCTTTGTGTAAAAAACTAGGAGAAAGGCACAGAAAGAGCCGGCAAAGGACCAAGAATGGCACGGAAAGATGGATAAAAACATATTTATCCTGGGAAAAACATGCTAACCTAGCGCAAGTAGAGCCCTGTGGCCTAACAAAGCTTTTCCTGAGTCTTTTTCAGATGCTCTTCCTACACTTCAAGACCTAGGTCTAGTACATAGGTCACAGGGATTTCAGATTTCAACTCACCACCGAAAGAAACTTTCCCCCACAGCTGCCCAAATGTGGAGTCTGGCATCCAGGAACTAACTCCCTAAAGGTAAATGATGTGAACTGTTAATACTGAAGGGCAGTCAGGCACTGGACGGGTTAGTAGACGAGGTCAGCAACTAACATTTATTGAGCACTTACTATCTGCCAGATACAGCGTTAAGTACTTTTTATATAGATTATCTCATTTTACCCTCAAACAGCCTACAAAGCAGGGTCATTTATCACAATTTTACTAACACAGAAACTTACTCAGGCCTACATGGATTCACACCAAATGGTGCTTTGCCCTGGTGATAAATTATGGCCTCATTCCCTTCCAAATCTGAAATTCTACCCTCTGTTCAAAAGCCATAAATCTCTTATCTCAGATACAGTTTTTAACAAATAATTAGTTTTCTTAGTCTACATTTTCTCTTCTTTTGAGACTAGGTAAAAAGTTGGCAACTGTTTTCCTGCCATCCAAATTTTAAATTAATTAAGCACACTTAGTCAATGTAAAAACTAAATGAGTGCAATAGGGACTGTTGTTCAATTAATTCTTTCAAACTTTGAGATGCTCACAAGGAAAAATGTAAATTTTTAAAACTATCAAGGTGTTTAGAGGAAGAGCCAAGGAAAGGGAAAAGAGAAATGGCAGATGAAAGCAGAGTTTACATGTTATTCTAAAGGCTGATTGGGGGAAAGTTGCTTCTGCTTTTGCATAATGCAGGAGGCAAAATCCCTACTACCTGCATGGACCAACACATCTCATAAGTCCAACCATCAGAAATTTGAACTCTTCCTGCTGTACACGATACACCAATCCACTATCAATAATTCAAGCACAATAATTGGTGGCAATGCCAATGGTCTAACTCTTTCAGATGTGACTTGGTGTCAGCACAAGGGTAAGCAAATTTCATAAATCCTGCATTAAGGAAGGAGAAAGTCTCACATGATTATAATTCATACATTCACAAATACGAGGTATTTCTACCATAGCACACTGGCCTCCAAAGACAGGTACTATCAACAAGATTCCCCTTAGCTATTCCTTGTTACAGCCACATGTTGGACTAAACTTTCTATTGAAATTTAACTAGAATGCTACATTTTTATGGCTGTTTTACCTTCAACAGAAATAAAATGTTTTGTTGTATAGTTACCAAGTCAACACTTTGATATAATCCAATAGCCTGACTGACACAGCATCTGCAGAATGATGGAGAAAGACTTTGCCTCCAAGGAAGGGGGCCGCTTTCTCTGCTACGGTCTGGCCCTTTGCCCATGACATATTTCCATCTGATTCTTCTAGGTCTGATCAGCTATGTTCCATCTCAGGGGATAAATAATAACATGTTTGTGTCAGATAAAAAAGTTACATAGCAAAAATTTAGAAGAAGATTATTACAGCTTTTGTGGGAATTTAACTTTCCTTGATGAGAGGGCCATTTCAAACATGCAAACTCTTAAAAACTTCTAACTTCTGTGAACGTATAATTCCTTTTCTCCATTTTTAAACCACTTTATTGAGCTATAAGTGACATGTAAAAAGCTGTACATATTTAAAGTCTATAACCAGATGAGTTTGGGGATATACCTGTGATACACCATCAAGGCCATAGACATATCCCAAAGTTTCCTTCTGTACTATTTATTTACTTATTTATTTATTTCTGTGGTAAGAACAGGTAATAGAAGATCTACCCTTTGAGTAAATTTTAAGTATACAACACAGTGTTGTTAGCTATAGGCATAATCCTCTATAGCAGATCTCCAGTATAACTCCTTTGGAATGACTTAACCTAAGGAACTATTCACATCACTGTAAAGATATATGTATAAGAATACTTGCCATGGCATTATTTGTAATAGCTAAAAACCAGGAATAATCTGTCAGTGAAGGAATGTTTAAATAAATTATGGTGCTAGCATATAATGGAATACTATGGACAACCATTAAAACTGACGTACATGTCTACTGAAACGCAAAGATGACCACAGTACACTGTTTACTGAAAAGAGCAGACTGCAAAACTGAATACAAAACGTGATTGCCTTTTTTGTAGACACACATATTAGACAATTGAAAGACCAGGAAGCATAGACTATAAAATACTAGCATTCGCTTTTATCAAGGAGTCAAGATAAAAAGTAATTTTTAGTCTCGTTTAATTTTTCTACATAGTAAAATCTTTTGTAACCATTACCAACTTTTATAAGACCCTCATAAAACAATAATGCTTATTCCATTTCTTTAAAAATTACTAGTCAGGGCATTTTGTTAGCAAATGGGAAGACAATTCTTGCTTTCTTGACTGTATGACCAAGGAAGCAGCAACTAACCAGGATGTGTGTCTATTCACATAACCCCCAGTCATACGTTATCATAATCCCACAGAAATGCTTACGTACTTTTCTGAAATTCCTCCAGTTTTTTAACAGCTTCATCTCGTTCTTGCCTAATTTTGTCACACTGAAATGAGAAAGAAAAGAAATGTTAAATTTTTATCATAAATTTAAAGTTTGGAAAGCAAGCAAGAGCAAACTTATAAACAATAGCAATTTTCTGAAAACAAAACAAAATTTAAAACCTTTGAAAAGCCTCACCGGTCACATGGTATTTGTACTGCTCAACCAGCATGGTATTGTGCCATTTGTATCTGGCCAGTTTTCTCAGACCTTCTAAGATACGAGTCACCTTACTGCTCATTATCTCCTCAGTAATAGACCAATTTAACATCCCTGAGTTAAAATGTATTCATTCTTTAAGAGAAGGTTTGTGTCTCTCTTTCTGTAAGTTAATGGAGTGAACACCCCACGCATCCACCAGTCTGCTTCCCAACAGTTTCAACTACCCAGAACACTGGTGCACACTTGTTAGTGAATGGAGAGACTACTAAATGAAGGCAAAATGCTGCCACACAGCATTTCCTCACCCAGGAAAAAATGACCTGTGTGTCCTCAGAACTCTGAATAAAGGAAGTTAGCAAATTAAAAGGAGAAGATAAAAATATTCCACAATAAGCATGCACCATTTACAAAACTGATTTTTAATTTAAAAATGTGGGAGAGCTCACTGAAAAGACTTTAGGAGGCAAGACCTTTTAAGGCAAAAATACTTTTTTCCCCCAGAGACAGGGTCTCGCTCTTCACCCACTGCAACCTCAACCTCATGGGCTCAAGCCATCCGCGCCTTGGCCTCCTGAGTAGCTGGAACTACAGGTGCTCACCATCGCACCTGGCTCAAAGTAATTACTGAAGTATGAGGACCTTTTAGGGTATCTGGTATGGAAACAAATATCTCATATTTATTAATGAGTTTTTTAAAAACCTAAAGTTCATTTATGAAGACTGACTTCAATTCATCCTGAATTGCATAAAACAGGCAAGTATAACACATTGCAGAGACAGGTCCATCAAAAGTACCTAAAACTTTACAAAGTGATTTTTAGCTATTAGAGTAATAATGAAAAATTTAATTTCCTAGGAATATCTTATTCCTTAAGAGTATCATATGAATTAAAGCACAACTTTAAATTATATTTGATTCCTAATATGTCAGATAAATACATTAGCATTTCATCCCTTTGGATGTTTTCTTTGTTTTGTTTGTTTTGCAGCCCCCTTTGCATGTTTTTAATTTCAAATTTCAGTGGCTAAAAAATTATGATGCCACTGGTGATGTGAAAAATCCAAATTAAAATGATGAGATATTCTCACCTATCAGAATGGCAAAAACTGAAATCCGATATCAGGAGTTCGAAACTCTCACAGATTGCTGGTGAATGTGTAAACTGGTATAACTATTTGGAAATAAACTTCTATCAAAATTGAAAATGCACATCCCCTATGATTCAGCCTTTCTACTTCTAGGTGAAATAAAATATATACCCAGAGAATCTCTAGTAATACATACAAAATAACCTGTACAAAAATGCTTAGCATTTATAATAACAATAAATCATGGTATATTCATATAATACACTATAGAGCAGCAAAAATGAATGAACTAAAGCCATATGTATCAACATAAATAAATCTCGAAAACCACAATGTTAAATAAAAGGAGTTGCAGAATACAAATCAAATACCTTGAGTACACAAAAACATTTCATATGTTTAGATATCTTTCATGATACATATTGCATATATCAAATATAAAAACATGACATGGAAGGATTCATACAAAATTTATGACAATAGTTGTCTCTTAGGAGATAGGGAGGAGAATGAGACTAAGGGTGGGTGACATAGGAGACCTTCAATTGTATCTGCTGCATTCTTTTATTTTTGAATTTCAAAAGAAATAACAGTTAATACTGTTGTTACATTATTCTCTTTTTCTGTGCTTTTAAAATATTTTTAAAATAAAAAAGTAAGAATCAAGCAGTTCAGTTCTCTCCTTTAATCTCTAAAGAACCACTGAAACATTAAAAACCCATCTTTGTTCATATGGGTTCATCCATTACAGCAAGAGAGTATGAAGCAAGTACACAGTGCTAAACCCGCAAAGCTGGTTACTAAACCTTGACATAGAAGACTATACTTTCAGGGGTCATTTTTTAGTTCATTACTAAATCTTGACTTAGACTCCCCCAAAATGAGTCAGGCTGAACCAAATATTATTTCCTAAAGGAGAAGGCATGTTCTTTCATTAAGGTTTCCCTGTAGAAATCTATCTTCCGTACACGCAAAAAAAAATCTAATATAGTTTCTATTTCCAACCTACCAGATAAACTACATTTATCATTTTTTGGTGTTTAAAATTCTGAACATTAGAGTTCTAGATTCTCATAAAAGCTTTTCTTAGAACCTTCCATAACCCAAGTGGACTACACCAGACAGTATAATTAACCCTTAATCCTGAGAGACTGCTGGCTGTTTCAGAAATGTTCCTTTTGTTTTCCAGAATTTGCTTCTGTTTGTTTTGGACTTCCCCACCACTCCTGCTAGTCTGCTCACCCCCCACCTCCAACAATGCACAGTACAGTCAAGCTGGGGTCCCCAACCCCCTGGGCTGCAGACTGTACAGGCCTGCAGCATGTTAGGGACCAGGCCCAGGGCTCTGCTCTGCAGCCCCCCAACGGAAAAATCGTGTTCTACGAAACTTAGGAATGGGGGGTGCACAGCACGTGAGTGGCGCCTCCCCACTCCCACCCCCCATGGAAAAATTGTCTTCCATGGAACCGGTCCCTGGTGCCAAAAAGGTTGGGGACTCCAAGAAGGCACAGATAGAAACCTAATTTCTGACCAGATTCAAATTCCTGAGTTGTCATTGCCAAATGAAATACACCTAGTGTTTTAATTTCAAATTAATTCCATATTTCTCAATCTGCCATCTCTGAAAAATGGGAAATGCCCTGTGAAAAACTGTCTTCATCTAGGAGCTGGTGCTTGAGAGTGTTGCTGCTGACTTAATGTCACTTGGGTCATTCTATGTCTCTCTCAAAATTTTACCTGAAGGAATTAGAGGTTTATTCAATTCTCACTTACATCAAATAGCCAGGGTCTTCACTGAGACTTTGTGTGACAAGAGCATTAAACAGGAATGGTGCTCTATCCAGTCAGATCTGAACAAGACCACCAGTGGACATCACACACAAACCACCAAGGCACCTACCATTACTGTTAATTAGCAATTGTAGGTAGGCCTGTACCAGTTGGTCAGAAGTAAGACTACGTCCATGCTCTCTGCTCTTAAGGCCCAGGCAGACAGGCTCTGGTTAATAACAGTTCTCAGTATCAGTTTTTTTATTCTAACATGAAGGTACCCCATTTCTATAGTTCGGCCATATACGTTCACCCTAACCCTATAGTTATCATCAGCAGATTCACAAGCTGTCTCCCAACCCCAGCTGTGTTCTATCAGGGGTCTTCATGTTGCTTTGCTTTCTATTTTCTGCAACCACATTATGCTAGAACTGGCAGTCACAGAATTTACCATCTGTTATGCTGAAAAGGGTGTGTGTTGGGGGTGGGGAGAATCTACGCATGCTGTAAATGCAGCTTATTTGCTCCAAACCAGAACTGAACAAAATATGGAGGACGTACCCATTGACTAAGCAAGAATTCAAACACCCACTTATTTCCTCATTTTAGGTGAACCCAGAAAAATATCTTGCAACCTTTCTCTCCTAGTACCAACAGGGAGAAATTATCAAGGATTATGGGCTTTTCAGAAGAATGTTTCATCTTTACACCACACAGAAGCCCCTCACCCATCCCACCCCTTACCCTGCTCACGCAGCTGCACCATTTGCAAAAACTGCTTCTTTTTTGTGTGAAAATTGCTCATGAAGACTTTGCAATAGCAACAGATGTTTTTGGGCCCACATCACTTAATTATGATGTCCAACGATTCTCTGTAGCTCAAAGCTAGGGTAGAACCCAGCAGAATGAGTGCTGGCTAGTGTGAGCAAGTTGGATAACGTTACATCTACTCTAGAGCCTCTATCTGGGCTCTTTATGAAGTGGTGAACTGACCGCAGGTTGGCCTTGCTCGTTTTGAAAGCCCTTAATACTAGAAGCCCTGGCTGTTTTCCAGATCTCCTCCTTAAGCCTCATCCAGGCAGATACCTGGCTTCTGAAACTAAACTAGGATTTCAGAGCCCTGGCAGACTGATTTGCAGAAGAAGGTCTCTGCAGTGTGAATTGGCATCTTCCCTGGACCAATCCCCCCTGCAAAATGGGTAGCTGAGTTCTTTCTCCCTCACATATCATCCAATTATTGTCAACACTAAAATGTCTGCTTAAAAGCAGAAATACAGATAACTGATACAGAAACCAACACATCTTTATAGTTGCTGTGTGTTTTATGCAAGAAAAACCAACATTCTGAATGGCGTCTAACTTCCACTATTCTAAACATTCATCCTTATCTCCCTGGTGAATAAATATAAAGGAGGATTGCCTATAGGAGTACATACACGTGCTGCATTCACACAGCTCCAAGAAAGAGGAAAATCTATACATAGGCAAGTACCTTACAGATGACTAAATTAGACTTCTAAGCAGGTATCTACTATAATCATCAAATGTCTCTGTTTCTTTTTTCTGAAAACAGAACAAATTTACACAGGACCCCCATGTGCGAGGCACTGTGTTAAACACTGAGGGGAATATAAGAACATAATGGACAAGGTGTTCTCACAAAACTTATGATCTACAAAGAAAGATTAACAATGAAATAAGCAATTTATAAGGACACTTGATGTAATGAGAGAAATACTACACTAAAGGAATATAGCAGAGGCTATAACACAAAGTCTGAGAGGTTTAACCCCACACCATTTTTCTTGAAGTTTATTTCTTTTATGTCCAGTTATAATATTTAAAGATTTAAATATGCATAGCACCAGAATTGTGTATATTTACCTGTTTTAGAATCCTTGGTGATGCAGTGAGAGGACCATCAAATCATTTTTAATAATCGACAATTCTATTGTTCCACCTATGTAAGTTTGGCTAGGACTCAACCGTGCTTTCCAGATTTCTACACACTTATCCTTTAAGACTACAATACACTAAATCATTCCCACTAGGATGGAATTCCTTTCACTCTCTTTCTCTTTTGGTGTTCTTCTTTCTTCCAATTTTCACAGGCAATAAAGAAATAGTAGCTGCCCCCCAAAGCTGTCTTTCAGCATTCTCCAAATTCTAGGTATTGTGTGTTAGATGGAAACACATGTCATCAGAACAGAGATCCTTGCTCTTTGTTTCTGGATAGATTGCTGTTAATAAGAGACTCATTTTCACTTTCAAACTGCTAAGTAATTACTTTTTCTCTGGCACAACCACTTGCCACTCTGTCTCAAAGAAACTGCATGTATGTGGATGTATTATGCATGAACAGTTAGCATAATGGATGCATATTTTGCTCTTTAAAGTGGCTTCTTTATTGATTTTTTAAAAAATAAAATACTTTGGGACCTTCACCTCTGAGTATCACACAAGAGTAAGAAATGTTAACAATAGACAACTGAGCCAGGATGCAAACAGTATCATATATCTTGCTTCTTGAAACATAAGTCTTGGAAAGTGTCTGTCTCATTCTCTTTTCATTCATTGTTCCTGGCACGCTGACAGAACCGCCTGATGCACTGTTACAGTAGCTCACCCAAACGACTTCTAATCAGCCCACTTAAACATTTATGCATCTCAAAACTCGATCTCAGAACATAATATTAGACATGCTTACTATTTAAAGGCAGACATTCTTCTATTATACAGATTTCCTTCTTTTTATGCACACTCCACACACACCCCCTCCACCCCGAGAAATGTGAAAGCTAGTCCATTCAAAGCTCAATGAGGCCTTTCCCCCATATAGGAAAAAACCCCAAACGATTATGACAAAGATCCTGAGTGAGTCACAAGAGAATGCCCTTCAATTGTAGAAGCATGACTAATATCTGAATGCGGTGATTGCTACATAAGCAAAGTAAACCATTTTATTCGGTTGATCCCAAAATACATCCTCTATTTTTCCATACTCAAAAATGTAGATTGGGAGAGTTGTTCACTTCAATGATAGGCTCCCTTACTTTTTCACGTGCTGTCGATAATTCCATTTAGAAAACGGATAAAAAATAATGAAAAGTAGCAAGTAGCCCCCTTTCCATAATTGCCACTTATCTTGATGTTAAAAAAAAAAAAAAATCTCAAGTTTTTTACATTTTTATCCAACTCACACTGCTTGTTTATACCCTATTTAATATTTTGACAATAAATTTTGGTTGATGAATGTGATAAGCACTTAAGAAATATGCAGATGTTTCATTACAAAAAAAGCAACTAATTCTGCATGTGAGAGAGTTAGAGAAGAGTTTGAAAAATACAGGTGACATTTAAGCCAAGCATTAAAGTCTAATAAAAGTATGTCACATGGAAAAGAATAGGAAGCTTGTCTTTCTGTTCTTTTCCTATCCCACTGCCAACCTCTGGGCACTCGCTTACAGCAGCATAATTGACTGCAGTGATTTGTCAACTAATTTGTGGCCCTCGGTGTGGTTTCACTTAAGAGTAGGACCTCCATATATTTTTCTTTATACCCAAATATTCAGAAGGTATTCAACAAAAAGTTTTCCCTTCGAAAAAGCTTTCCTTATAAACTCAAACAGATTCCGGTTCTATCCTCAAAGTCGGTGATAAAAATCACAAAATGGCCAACATTCCATTTTTCCTAAAAAAGGGAGAGCTGCAAAGGAGAAGATCCATTAAACCATTGGCCCACCTTTTCCCCCAAATCTCCTCCAATCATCCTTGGAATGCATATGTCAGGATCTACATGCATATGTGTGTATATATGCACACATATGTACACACGCATGGATTTTTCTGACATAAAATTGATTCGACATTTAATTTCCAGTTTTTCAACAAAAACCGACAGATGGTGAAGACAAATGACCCAGGAAAGCACTCAGTCTGATAATTTGCTGTGAAAAATTCAGGCGCTAACGATAAAGAATTAATAATAAAATTTGGACCTTTGTGGAAAAAGAGTCAATAAGCTCCCATGAGTTTACCTGCCTCTAAAAGAACACTGTGGTCAGAAAACCCATGTTTAAATTTAGACTCTGTTACTAATTTTTGTGTGATCTTGAAAAACTCACTCAAGCCCTGAGGTCCTGTTCTCTCCTCTGTGAAATGGGGCTGGCACAAGGCAGTTTGGAGCATTAGTTTGGAGCATTAGATGAGGGAGACAAGAGAATGTGGATGTCCCATAACAGCTTCTTAAACACAGCCTCTTTAGCAACCATTTTCCCTGAAGAGCACCATGTCCAACCACTTGTCTCAACAGAGGCAACTCTACACAAGGCAGAAAAAGATGCTACCCAAAGGAGTCACATCCACTGCCTGTTTCCACTGATAAGGTTCATGCCTTGGCAACAAAGATAGCTGGATTTAATGTGGACATGTGGAAGGGAGAAATATATTGCAATTTATTTTTTTTTCTCCCCCCATTTGTGTAAAATTTCCCCCACATTAAATTAACTATGGCAGAAAGAGTCTTCCTGGAGATTGCTATCCCTGACTGGTTTAACTGAACTCCGGTTTGGGGCCATGGGGGAAGGATGGCCATGTGTTATTTGCTGATGCTGACTGGACAAAGCTCGCCCAGCCAGGCACGAGAAAGCGCTTTCGCAGAGAAAATGGTGTTCTCCATTTACCACCTCCAGAACTAAAGCTGCTTTTACTCATTCTATGCTCTGTAAAAGGCTTTTATTATATGCTTCCCTCTTTTGTAATACAGCCCCCCTTTTTGGGGAAAAATCTCCAGTAATAAGCAAGCTAGTATTCTAACAGAAGATAAACAGAGCCGGTGAACTTAAAACCACTCTACTTTGTTTTACCCAACCACACGGCATTCCATATTGCTTTCATTTCTTTTCTTCTCGTTTCTGTTAATAGTTATTTTTAAAGAATTGAACAGAAGCAGGTCAATAATGCCTACAGATGTTACAAAAGTATTAGGCCATACTCTATGTAGAGAAACATGTAAACAGTTAATGGGCTGAGGTACTTTATAATCCTTCTTTTACCAAATGCGTTTTACCAATAATGCCACGTGCGTAACAGATGGTTCACTTAAAACCTCACTGCAGAAAGTGGCTCTCACTTCAACAACCATCATCCCTACCAACAGTAGATGCTTACAGAGCAACTACTACCTATTTTTAGGGCACTGCTTAGGTCTACAAGTAAGCAAGGATTAAAGGAGAAGACAAGAATAAACAAAAAATTTGATCTTCTTTTTCTTATGTTATTCTTTTATATCCTTCTCAATCGTATGAAGACATCTGTTTGCTTTCCCTCCTCTTATCGTCTAGGTTAAGTCAAAGAGTTGTCAGGAATTAACCCTTCAACTTGCTTTGTTCGTCCCCTCTTGGGACAGGAGCAGCTGGGAAAGAGACTCAATGGCTGATAACTTCTCAGCCTCTTTGTCCTCCTGCAAAGATGCAAGATGGTTGGGTATCTTAGGCAAGGAGGCTCAAGCTACCTGGCCTAAGCATCACCCACTAGATTCGCTTAGAAATTACGGGGCATCAGGGACCCAGGATCTAACCACAACCTCCCCACCTGTTTATATTCTCAAACCATCTGTGATCTGAAGTGGTTATGGTGTTAGAAGTAGAAATCTTCTTGTCAAACTATTTTCTGTGACCTTCTTACCATATCATAGATGCGTGCACCAGCCGCCTTCTGCCGTGGATATTCCTAACACCCACACTTACCATTCCCTGAATCGCGTGACGAAGGGAGAGAGGAAACTTAAGGTTTCACGGACACTAAAGATTCCGTGAAAGAGCAAAGGAGTCTTAAAACTAGGTGAAAAATAATGATCTAAAAATATATGATAATCTGCTTTGAACTAGAGTACTTACCATTAATATCACCAACTCACAGCTATATAAGTTGCAAATTAATATGAGTGAAAAAGTTAAATATGATTCTTAAGAGCCCAACAAATAATCCCAAATATGACACAAGTTTTACAAATATTTAGCTTGCTGCAAATTTTTATTATAGCTCTTACTCTGAAATTTTAAAGCTGAGGTTTCACAATTTATAGCAGTGATGACCACCTTTAATAACCTCTAAGGACCTGTTCTATTAATATTCTACCATGGACATTATATGTTTTGAAATATTTGATCCATCAAAGTAATTTTTAAAGTAAATTTTATTTATATCTGAAACCCAAAATGGACAGTTCTGCTTCCTCTCTCCGAGTTTTCATTTTCTGTTCAGTCCCTCTGTTTTCAGACTTTAGCCTGCCCTTCCCTTTGTCCTCTCCTTAAATTTATAAGGAAATATATATTAGCAAACATTCACAAATCTTAAACATTTTCGGCAACAAAAAGGATACAGTTTGTAAAGGTTAAGTAGAATTTAATTATTTAATAGTTAAAAAATAAAACTAACAGAGTCCCTGAAAATATTCACTAGGCTTCCCCATGTTCACATGGGTGTTTTTCAACTTCTGCTATATTATTCATATAGATAGAGGAAGTAAACACAGAAAAGGTTTATGGAGGTATTTGGGTTAAACACCAATAACTAATTCCAAAGAGTTCTCTCCAGGATCTAATGTGCTTAGGTCCCAAAGGTACATGTCTCAGGCTTTCAACACCATCACCAGAATCCCAAAGCTGACTGTTAGGGGAAAAGTGCAATTCCTGGGGACGTGAGTTGCTTGGCCTGGTGCCTTGCTGCACATTTAGTCGTGCAGTTAATCTCCCAGAGCTGCGCCCACTGTGGCAGGCCTGCTATTCTTTACCATCTGGAGCCTGGGGTTGATATTAGCTTGAACCACACATGTGAGAGAAAAGGGGGAAAAAAAAAAAAAACCCTCATTCACATTTAACTGAAATTGGTGGCTGAACAATGCACTATGCCGCCTAGGCTTTTACACATGTAAGAAAGGGGAAAAAAGGGTAAAGTACAAACCTTCTCCTTTGTTTTCTGGTTCTCTGCTCTAAGGTCTTCATATTCGCCTATTGCTGAAAGAAAAAAGGAAAGCAACATTATAACTCTACCAAAAGTTTACTGTCGGGAAACCTGGGAACCCAACTGACTCCCGTTGCCCACTTACTGGGTTGGAGTAGGGTGGAGAAGAGGCCACAGCAGAAGGGCTTCTGATTTTAAGAGTAAGGAAGAAAAAGAGATCATAGCAGATGTGAGCTCACCAAGCTAAATTTCAGTTCTCCCTAGGTCATAAGAAAGCTCCTTCAGCCAAGACAGGTGACCTAGGAGAAGTCACTTCTCCTCTTTGATGCTCAGCACCTGGTCCTGTGAAAGGATTCAGATGGGTGTTCCCTGAAGTTCCTCCCAGCACTATTAGTCTGTGGTGCCATCATCAGAGGTTTATTTAGAAAAACCAGCCTCTAGAAAATAAAGTAAGTTTGTACATTCAACTTAATGTCACACATCTGCTTTATTCACTGAGCAAAAAGTTTACGCCATGAGCATTCACCCAAGAACAACTATTTTCAGGCAAGGCTGTCAGTCATCAAGCCATGACCAGAAATCAGCCAGGCTCAATTCACTAAACTGGGAATGCATGTAAATTGTTTGAAAATATTTCCAACTATGCAGGAGAAAAATAGTTTTCTACCTAAAATCCCTTCTTGCCAGAAAAATAAAGTAGACTAAACCACCACATTCATCTTTTAGTCAAAGCACCATTTTTAGGAACCCTCACTGTTGAGAATATAAAGTTTAGAGCACATTCAGTGGGGAAAAAGAGAATGACCTAAGATCGATGATGGAGCCGAACACCTACGGTAAGTCACAACTCCTACTCACCCCCAGGGCCGGCATTTCACTGGCACCGGAGTCACTAAATCACCAAGCTTTTAAAAGATTTAACTGGGATTTATCTACCAAAAAAAACCCCTTCATTTTTCTTTAAAAAAAAAAAAGAAAAAGAAGAAGAAGACAAAGAGAGCTTCCTATTTCTACAAATAATCTAAAGACAGATATAAAAAATTTGACACCAGTACCTTCAAGAACATTCCAGATAATCTGGTCATTAATTCTAGAAATGTATGATTCTAACCACTAGGGCAGAAAACATCCCAGAAACAATTAACATGGTAAAGCACATATTTTGCTTCCTCCCACAGTGATCCAAAGGGTTCAGAATAGCTACAGTGATGGTAGTGCTGAAATCTTAAAATCCAATTGAGATTGACAAATAGTTATAGGATTATACCACCAAGGTCCAGAAGTTTTATTAGCACCCCGTAACCGTTTAAATAAGAATTAATGGACAATTTTACTGAAGCCACATTCCAAAAGAATCCCTGAAAATTAGCCCATAAAACAGGTGAAAGTATACATGTAAAGATATAGCCCTTTTGAAAAGAATTATATTTTGAACAGGAAAGACTTGACTGACCCCAGAATGAAGACCTTGGCGCAACCAGCCCCTCAGCCTCCACCAAACACAGCCCAACACCTGAGTATGAACTGAACTGTCTTCAGGTGTGAAAACCCAATGATACGTGTCCTCCTTCTTAACAGAAAAAAACAAGAACTAAGAGATCCGAAAAACATGCACTTACGCCATTGGGTAGTCTACAGTCATGGTCCCCAATCTTATTACTATAACTAACATTGTTTTAAAAATGTATAAATATTTTATTGAGAGACTCTGATTTAGGTTACTTGACATTTAAAGGTATCTGTAGATGAAGTTGAAAAAATAAAAACTGATTTAACATTCTATTATTGGTGACCTACTTTATACACATACAAACAATAAAAGCTTATAAAACCATAATCTTGCATTGACATTAAGAAATTTTTTTCTATTTAAAACATCAGATAATGGCTTTGAAGGCTTTTTTAAAATATTGACACTATTCTTCCATTATACTGCCAATAGAACCCAGATGAAACATCATAGACTCCCAATTACTGGGTCTTTATAAAAACATTAATTAAGAACTCTTGACTTATAATATTTTAATGGAAACCACAGAAAATATGCTTTCTTGTGACTATGTATGACTTTTTAAAAAAACAAAGCAAGGTACAAGAAAAGGAAGGGGAACGTATGGAAAGAATTCAACCAGTAGGTGAAGGGAAGGGGGCGACTGGGGGAATGGGCGTAAAAGAAAAATCTTTACTTCTATTTAAGTTAAAATACCAAACTCACTACCCTAAACAACATTCATACACTCACGCACACACACACGTGCACACAAACATATACACATAATGTATACATATATATCACAGTGAATAGATACCTAACCCCACCCTCAGTAAAACTGGCAAAAACTGAAGTGACCTGTATTATTCAGCTACTTCTTTTTTGGCAACGTTAGGGGGGGGTCACAGAGAAAGCTTTCTTATCGTTTCAGAACTGGCTCACAGTTCGAAAATTTTAAAAAAATGAGTTTCCACAGCTCAAGTGATTCGATAAGAGATCCTTCAAATCCTGAATTAACCAAAAAAGAGATGCATCTGACCAATTCTCTGCCATATGAAAGATATCCACAGCTTGAGAAGACATCATCGCTCATGTTTACAAGTGGAGTATAGTTCACTGTACTAGAAGGTCATGTAAGACAGTCATTAAAAAGTGCATCCTAATCCCAGCCTGAGCATCTAGGGGACCTTGGGCAAGTTAGTTAATCTCTCTGAGTCTCAGGTTCCTCATCTGGAAAATAGGAATAATAATTATATATCTCTCATAGTGTTGTTATTAAGAGTAAATGAGTTAACATATGTAAGAGTGTTCAGGCATAGTAAGTGTTCAAAACATGTTAGCCATGGTTATTACTAATGACACAACAAGTACCTCAAATCTTGTGGGCATGACAAAAAAAATTAGGCTGATCCCTCATGCTCTTAGTCTCTGGCTTACTTTTGTCCCACACGTACTGAAAGATGGCAGACCAGAAAGATTTCTGAAACCCAGGGTGTTGCTATCCTCCACCAAATACAGGGAAGAGAAAAAGGGCTAAAGATCAACTGCAAACAGTTCCTTGTAGTAAAGAAAGTGGCAAAGAAATGGAAGCACCTCTGAGAGCTGTGCTTGTCAATCTCGGCTACATGTTAGCATCACCTGGGGAGCTTTTAAATCACACAGATGCCTTGCCCCTCCCACCCCAAGACTCTGATTTAGCTAGTCTGAGGTGGAGCTGGGGCATCCATACACACACACACACACACACACACACACACACACACACACACACACACACATTCTTTTTAATTTCAGAAGTGAATGTTCCAGGCTGTACAGCCAAGATGGGGAACTACTACGTAACAGCATAGAATGGAAGAAAATGGAAGGTGGTGGAGAAAACAAGAAGAATATCGGGCAGAGCATGTGTTTCAAGAATCATGCTGCTTTTCTATTTTCTAACTCCCCAATGCCAAGAAAAGAAGTTTTCTTTTCAAGTTGCAAATCACGACATAGCCACCAGCCCAGGAGGCGGCTGAGTAGACTTAGCTCTTTCAGAAACGAGGCAACTAAAGTTCTTAACACCATCACCTCTGGCTAGGGTTAACAACAATCATGGTTTACCTGGGACTTTGTCATTTTTAGCACTGGAAGTCCAGCATCCCTGGACACCTCTCAGTCGCAGGCAGGCTAATCGCCCTGCCTGTAGCACTAGCTCCAGACCAGTATTTCCAACCAATACATTACAGACCTGCACTGTCCAATATGGTAGCCATAAGCCACAAGTAGCTATTTAAATTTTAATTGATCAAAATTAAATAAAATGTAAAATTCTTCAGTTCCATTAGTCACATTTCAAGTGCTCAACAGCACCAGTGGACACAGAACATTTCCAACACAACTTTCCGACCAAACCCTCCTATCTAGCTCTAGCTTCCCTCTATCCCAAGTGCACTCTTCACAAGGCAGTTAGTTAGCATACTGACAAAGCAAGCATTTCCTTGCTTAAAAACCTCCAAAGACTTTACCTTCAGAACCTGGAATCCCACTCTACTGCCCACCATTTAGCCTCAGAGGCCACAACCCACTTCACCACACCCAAAGTCTCAATGCTTCCCTGAACCCTCCAAGACCTTTCACATTTAGTTGCCTTTGCGAATGTTTTTCCCTCTGCCTGCGAGGTCTTCCTTCCCCATCTTCCCTACCTCCTCCTTTTCAACGCAATTAAACTGTTAATTCTTCTGAGAAGCCTTCCCCATATGCCTCAGGAAAAATCAGCACTTATATCTTAATATATCACCAGAGTAAAGTGTTCATATGTCTCTATTAGAACATCTACCTATAACACTATAAATTATCTGTGCACAGATCCGTTTTCCTGTCTTTTCTCTCACTCAAGTCATTGCTATCTGCCTTATACACAGCAGAATACCAAGTGGCGAGTTCATGCCTATACTGAATAAATGAATGGTTTGTATAAACCTGTGATGCAAATCAATTAAGCAAAATATTAACATTCCCATTTTACAAATGAAGACACAAATGCATAACGACGTCAAATCCCACAATACAAAGTGGTGGAGACAGAATCAGTCTACTGATTCCCAAAGACATTCAAGTCAAAAGAAGAAAAAAAAAAAAGGTACTGAGCATTACTGCATGCAATGTGCTAAAGCACTAGATAAGAAACAATCCTCTTGGGTGAAGGCTATGTCTTCATCCATCCAGATGCTCACTGGTAGCACATGCCTGAATACAGTAGCACATGTGATAAATATGTGTTAAATTAAGGAAGAATGGATCTAGGTCTTCACATGAGCAAATCAAGATACAGCATATATTCCCTTCCCCATAGTAAAAAGGTCTCTTACATCATATGTTATATCAGGATACTTAATAAAATGAAGCTTTAGCCATCAAATGTAACCAGAAAAACACTGCCTCATGAGATCTTCTAATGTAGATTCTCACCCATTGAGTATATGTGAGTCTTTGAGACTCAGGAGGGCTTGAAACACTCTTATTAACAGGAAATAAGGACATGGGTCACAAAAGATAGTGCTCAATTAGGACATTATTCCC